CTCCCCGGCTTCTGCCGCCTCGGCGGGCCTGCGCCCCGGAGAAGGGGAAGGAGGGCGCCTGCCCCCGTGATGGCGGAGCGGGAGCGGCGTTTTGCGGCGCTTGGCTGAGGCGGGGAGACGCGCCCCCGCTGGCGCAGGGCAGCGGGGGCTTCGCACCGCGTTTGTCGGGGCCCCTCGGCGGCAGGGCCCAGCTCCGGGGTTGGCGCCTCCCGCCTCTTGAGACTCCTTGTCCCGCCCTCAGTCTGACAGGGCTCCACGGGCAGCCGGAAGATCCCGTGGCTTATTTTAGCCTTTTCAGCCTAAAAATCCTGCCCTGCCTAAAAATCCCGCAGAGTACCCCCGTCCCCGAAGGGCGCGCGTCCTGTGGAGACCCGGGCAGGGGCGAGGGTCTGCTGCCTGCGGCACCCCAGAGACACCCTGCCACGGGCGCTCATTGCTGTGCCGGGCACCCCTCACACACGGGGCCCTTCCTCTCTCCTTCTTTCTCTTCACCTGCATCTTTGAAACCTCGAGGGCTGCGTGCATGCAGTCAGGTGAGCAGGCGTGTAGACCGAACGCTGGTGTTACCTGTTTGTTGGGAGAAACGAACAGGCACGAACCCCAGGACTCGGATACGACACCCGTAGCTAATATATGAAACTGCTTGACGTGGTTATTGTAACACCTTGACTTCTTGTCTGCTAGCCCTGTTTGCTGGAGCTGTTCCACTACAAGCTATTTGTGTCCGTATTTTGTCACCCTCTGCAGTATTTCTTTAGCTTTCTCTCAAGTGAGCCATTCTTGACCAGCGCAGGACGTATCCTTCAGTGGTAATTCAGGGGTGCCTGCCTGTGACATTCCCCACGCTTCTCGTTCCCATGAACAGGCTGAGCATAAACATGGCCATGACAGGGAGAGATGCACAATGCCGTGTGATGGGACTTGGATACCTGCCTTCTTCAGGGGTCATTTGAAAAATCCCTGCCAAAATCTTGTGTTTCCTTTAGATTTCTTTGCTTAAAGGTGTGGGAGTTTTCCGCTCCAAAGAGCTTGCTGGAAAGCGAATGAGTATTCTCATTAGGGTTAACGTATTTAATTTCCACTCCTAACGTTCCATTTGTTTTTTCTGTTAGCATTTAACTGCTGTGACACAAGCCCACTCCATGTGAGCTGTCCAAGTCTGTCTACTCAGTGGAAAACACCATTCTCCTTATCTCTCCAGTGTCTGTGGGAAGGAAGACGAAGGTACAGGAACTTTCGAAAACAAACATACGACACTTGAGGGCAGGACAGCTCCAAAATGCAAACCAAAAGCAGATTCATAAGCTGAAATCCAGAAATCTTGGATTTCTTTATGGAGTATTCTGAGACTTGCGGCTCTTGAAAAGCACAGTAAAATAAACAGTGGATTAAACGGAGCAAAACCATGCAATTCTATTTGACGAGGCTCCAAAGCACAACAAATACAGTGTCTTTTGGCACCTCTAGGATAATGACCAGTTGTGGTTACTGATTCAATGATACTCCTCACTAAAGTAGACTGGATAACCCTGAAGTCTGGGCTAAATTTGAATTCACGTAATTATATGCTGCTTGTTATGTTCCCTTCCATTTTCAATTACAAAAAGTATTTGGTATTGTTTTTCCTAAGCTGTTACTTAAACTATTGTCTGATGTGAAATGGTTGTTGTATTTTACAGCACAGGTAGTCTCCCATGGGAGGTTTCTAATGGGAGGAGAATTCACTAAATTAGTTTGTTGGTAGCATGATAAATCAAACCCCTCAGTCCTAACAGTGAGGTATAACAGAGCTAGCAGCAAAGCTAGTGTTAATGTTGCTAAGCGCTTTCTATTCTAGTTTTCAGAACTATTCAGAACTATTTTCTAGTTTTTGTTCATAACTGCCAGTCTGAGCTGAAATTTCCCCTGTTGGGTGTCTGCTTCCAGCTGTTTTATTTTAGCTTGTTTTGGTTGTTTTGTTTTGTATTATGATTTGTTTGATTTGGTTTTGGAAAGTTCCATTTACAACAATCAAGCCAACTACGAGGATGAATTTAGGGGAGAATACATGGTTTTGTCCATTATAAACATAACCATTTCACTGAACAGCCTCTAGCATCTCTCTGGTTTGGAAAAACAGCTTTCAAATTTGGCAAGTAAATTGCTTTAGTTTCAGGGATATATTTTTCCATCTTCATGAAAATGTGACCTGAGGGTTAAAAATGTTGAGTGGAGGCTTCTTAAAATTGTACAGCCCAGCCCCGAGAAAATTCCACCAATGTTGATCACGTGTGACCTTTTGTTAGGCCCACCTGCATTCACATCTGCATGTGTGCACTCTCCAGGAAAAGGCTGAGCTTGTGCCTTGTTTTGCTAGTGTTCTGTATAAAACAAGAAGCCTCTAAGGGGCTTGTGTAGTGCAGCCCAGCTCCCTCCCCTTGAACATTTCTGCCCAGGCTACCTGTTGTTAGAGAGGGTGTTGGCAGGATGAATCGCATAAAAGACCTCTCTCCTGCTGTAAGCTGTTTGTGGTTTTTGTTGGTCTTCCTGTTTTAACACTAAAGGCTACTCACAGTTGTAAGCTTCAAGTAAGATTTAATGCTAACTGCTATCCCAGAACACAATGTGATACCAGAATGGAAGAGTGCCTCTGAAATACCAGAGACAGAAGAAGAAGTCCTCAGTGGGGGAAAAAGGAGCAGCTAAGTACCTTGAGACAGCTGTAATTCTGGAAGATTTTTGTGCAAAAGATGTTCTTTTCATCAGGTGGGACTATGGAAAAGGAGCAAAATACAGTTTTTAAGATGCCAATTCAGAGGTCTCTGGTTTAATACTCTGTAGTTAAATAAGGAAAAAGTCATTTATCATGTTCTGGTGCAAAAAGGGGACTTAGAAATAAATTCTGTAAGCTTTCATATATACATAAGCAATGAGAAGGACAGTGGTGTTGAAGTAATAGAAGGTTGTTTTAAAAGGCTGAGGAGCCTGATCTACAGCCTCATTGGGCTGTCTTTATGTGTCAATACCCTTCAGTCCCGAGGTGTCACTTCCTTGAAAATTTAGTATGAAACTTAGATCCAGAATCATCCCTGGCAATTCAATGAAATAGTAAAAAGCAGTGATACTGCTCTTTAGAATAACCATGAAGTAATCTGGCAGAACATATACATTAATAAACAGCCACACAAACTAAGGCCTTTTTTGTGAACTAAACGTATATGAACATGGACTAAAGCCTGCAAAGGAAAAAGAGATAGGTTCTTGGGCGGTGATTTCACAGGAGATGGTCTCAAATTTAACAGCTCACTGCTGCCAAAACGGCCTCTTCATTTCCAATTCTGCTTTCCAGTCCCTTATTTTGTGCAGTAATTGATGAGTTTTCTCCTTCTCTACAGTCCTCGATGGCTGAGTCAACTCAGTAGTCCAGCAGAAAGATAACCAGGCAGAAAAATACATAGCTTTCTGCTGGATTAGCTCCATCAGTCATTTGTTTCAATTAGTTAAGTCAGGAGGGTCTAGCAAGCATCAGGGCAGAAAGGAAGAGCTGGGACTGCATGACTGGGAGGGAGGCTGGGGAAGGCCGCTGCAGGCATCAGCAAGGAGTGAGACAACCTGAAGCTGTGCATTTCCTCTGACTTTTCAGGCAACTTTGCCTGTGAGAAAGCATTATGGTATGGCACTGACTGAAATTCTTGGTAAATTCAGTGAAATGCAACTCAGAATTATGGTTGGTTGGTGGTATCTCAGGAATCTTCCCAGATGCTGAATCCAACAAACTAGCATTTCTGCAAGCCAGCAAACACTGAAATAAGGTACATGCCCACAGAAACCTACCTGTGGGCCCTGGAATCT